TGGAGAGAGAAGAGAAGAAAAAAATAACAGATAGATTGAAGATAGGACAGAGAGAGGCTAGAGATTTAAAGATAGAGAATAAGTAATGATAGGATGAAAGTACGGGCAGCGTCAAAGAAATGCGTAGAGAGACGAGATAGAGATAGTGAGCGAGAGAGATAGTGAGAGTGAAGTGAGAGATCAGACAGAAAGAGAGAGGTAAGGGGAGAGAGAAGAGAAACGAGAGAGCTAGCGGCGCAGCCTGAGGAATGTTATGACTGTGGGTCTTTATATAATAGTCTCTCTTTAAAGTTTAATCCATTTTCTATGATACATATTTTCATGTTCTCCCTTTTCCAAAAGATCATGCCTTCAGCTGTGGCCTTACACTGCCCCCCGTCCCGGGCCCCCCCCCCCCCCCCCCCCCACCGGGGAGAGATCCTAAGAAGCGAAAAAGTGTTTAAAAAAATTAAATGTATATATAAACAAATTAAGTTTTAATATCTCTTTTTACTCTCTTATCGAGTCTGCTATGTGTTTCGCCGTATGTGAAGTATCACACCCACGAACCCACGCCCACGTCTTCTTCAATCTCTCTTCGCCGTATCCTCTCTCTCTCCTCTCATTCGTCGCCACCAAGGTCTCTCTCTCATCATCTCTCATCCTCTCTTCTCAGTTCCTCTCTCAGTGCAGTGAGCAGTCTCAATGCTACAAATAGTGAATCTCTAGGCTATTATGACACTCTCCGCCATGATACCTGTAGTCTGGTGCTACAGTGCTCGACATCCCTTATATTGGTACACTTTTGACTCGCCATCTTCCCACTGATCAGTGAGGAAGGCGATGCCGTGCGCCTCTATCAAGCCGAAGATCAGCGAGGTGAAATATACGCCAAGCTCTCTGATATTTAATCTCGTATCCAAAAAACATCCGTGCTCTCTCTCACAAAACACATCACCACACATGAATGTACAAACGCACACACACACACACAAACACACACACACCCACACTACACAACAGCGTAGACACACACACACAAACGCCATTTTCCACGAAGCCCCTTTACCCTTAAGCAGAAAAGACTGTTCTCCGCAACACCACACTACTTCCTCCCAAGTTTATTACCATTAATGTAATAGGAAGTAATGGAATGAGTGTTTAGCATACTAATAATGGGTCAGCTGTTGCCGCGAAGGTTAACTATTTCTGAAAGAGCTTAGGGGGTCTATTAAGAGATTCAAGGTAGTGTTGAGTTAGGTGTGTTTGCCTGGATTATGTTGATGTTGGTTTTCATATCGCTTTTGTGTGAGGTGATATGAGAATTTATATTTAGTTATTTAGATTCATGCACACACGCACACGCACGCACACACACACATGCACACACACATACACACACGCGCAATACACGGACTTGACCTTTTTATAATGATAATATAATGGAAAGAAGATTAAATGCTGTATTTTTCCTTAAATAACAGCATAAGGGTGATAATAATAAAACAAAAACTTTCCAAATAATTCTTTATATATACACACATTATATTTCGTTAGATAGTCACCAGTCTTTGAAACACATTATACATGTAAAATAATAGTATCATAGGGAACTAAACGTAGAAAAAGCAGGCATGAGAATGAATGTATTTCTGACGAAGATATGGTCGAAAACGGTTAAATACATCTCTTTATTGTGAAGATATTTCATTCTCATTCATACCTTTTCTACATTTTTCACCATGGATACGATTCATGAAACTAGACATGACTGTGTTATTAATGTTTACACACGTTCCATCACAATATAACAAATGTTGATAAATGTAAAAGTATGAAGAAAAAAATAAAATCAAATGATAAAATATGTATTTTCATGGATGAAAATGATCTTTAGGTCTGTTGTATATTTCAGTCTATTAGATGTATTTAAACTTCAAGGAAAACATTATTTTGTATTCATCTGGGCAAAAAAACAACGAAAAAAAATCACACATAACATTTGTCTTTAACTTTACCTTAAACTTTCTTGTTATTATTCTTGTGCCATTTAACATTTTCCAGGAGGTAAATACTCTTTTCTCACGCCTTTAAGAGAAAAGATTTTAGCCCATAGAAGTTCACGCACCACGCAAAAAAGTGAAAACAATGTACAAATAAAATTGAGCTCAAAGGCCTTTCGGATTACCTAGATCGCGACTGAATTTAATGCCATTTCGCTATTTGGACAATCCACAGGACTATCAACAAAGCGAAACGAAAAAAGAAAGGAAAAGATTTTAAAAATGGATATCACAAGCGGATTTTGAGACCTTTTACGCGTTTTAAAATAGTTACCCCTTGATACGATACGATCCGCCGTGCTTTGTTATTGTTTTTATTTTTTCAGTTTTGTGGGCTTTTTTATAACGCTTTAAGTACTTTCGTGTTGTTTTCGTTATTTGATGTTGTCGATTAATGCAAATGTATGGATCTAAAACAAAATTGCAAAATATGAAGTGAAGGATAACTATGAATCTTCTTTTGTTATATGAATAGAAAAAATATTAGTAATAAGATGAAGCTTTTATATCTCACAAGAGATGAATGTTGAAAAGAAAAACTGATGTAATAATTTAATTATCATCAGTATTATCTCTTATGTCAATTATCTTACTACAAGCGCTATACACACGAACACAAACATATATATTTGTCTGTGTTGTGCCTATATGTGTATGTAAATGTGTATTTGAATGTGAATGTGTGTGTATGTGAATGCATACGTGCATGTAAATGTGTATGTGTGTAATTTATGTGTATGTAGAATGTGTGTTTTGTATGTGTATGTGAATATGTATATGTATGTATATGTGTATGTGAATGCGTATGCGTGCAAAATCGGCTAAGTATGTAGATAAATGAAAGAAATTTTGCGGAATAGGAAAAAAATGCATACCAGTGTTAATTCATGGCATTTACTGGCCTGTAGTTCACCTTACAAAATCACTTTGGGAAAAGCAATAACAAATTGCTCATGATCAAATGATACCGATAAAAGTAACAACAAAACATTATAAATAATCACAATGAAAAACCAACAATGACACAAAGATGGAAAAATAACCATAACGAATGAAATGACGAAAACCACAAAGGAAAAAAGAGTAAATAATCATGATTAAAAAACAACAACATTTACTCAAGACATCACAAACACCTCATTATAAATTCTGTCTTTTACTGTGGTCCCTCCATCACGGTCAGCAAAAGAAGCGGACGGTATTCAACTGTGCAATCTCGTGCACAGGACGCAGAAAGGTGAATGCATTGTCGTGTAAGCTGTGTGTGTTTGTGTACCCGCGTGTGTACGTGTGTGAGGTTGAGTGTGTTGATGTGTAGATGTGTGAGTTGGAGTGAGTGTGGGTGAGGTGGGTGGTGGTAGTGGGTGAGTGAGTGAGTGAGTGAGTGAGTGAGTGAGTGAGTGAGTGAGTGAGTGAGTGAGTGGGTGGTGGGTGGGGTGGGTGGGTGGGTGGGTGGGTGGGTGGGTGAGTGAGTGAGTTAGTGAGTGTGTGTGTGTGTGTGTGTGTGTGTGTGTGGTGTGTGTGTGATGTGTGTGTGTGTGTGAGAGAAAGAGAGAGAGAGAGAGAGAGAGAGAGAGAGAGAGAGAGAGAGAGAGAGAGAGAGAGAGAGAGAGAGAGAGAGAGAGAGTGAGAGGAGAGAGTGAGAGAGTGAGAGTGAGTAGAGAGAGAGAAATAGCAATATAGAAAAAAAATGTACCACTGCAGAAACACAGCAGCGAAATTTGGATGTGTTAAAAGGATACAATTTTTTCTGTATGCATTTTCCTTCTGGGCCAAAAGAGGTTCTCTTGTCAGACTCTTATCGTCTGCTTCTCGCCTGTTACGAAGGCTAAAGGAACTAAACTTATATTAAAATCTATTTAGGTAGTTTCAAGTCACGTCACAGACCACACACATATATCTTTACACATGTAGAAAATTCTATACTTGTACACATACACTCTCTCTTTCCTTTTATTGCTCTCTCTCTCTCCTTCTCTCTCTCTTCTCTCTCTCTCTCTCTCTCTCTCTTTTCCCTCAGGTACATACACACACCTAAATTCAAATATATTCTACATATAATATATAATCTTAATCATTTATCTATATATATTCTATAAATATATTTCTTACATAGCTGGCCTATAATCACTTCATCTTCATAGACCCTGAGATATAACCAAACGTTTCCTTAATAACCAAACGTTTCCTTAATAACCAAACGTTTCCTTAAATATAGAGGGCTTACCATTGCCCATGAGTAGTTACTTATACCATGCAGCTGTATTATCTGGAACATCAATGCATTATACAGCATACAAAAGTGGGAGAGGGAGAAAGGGAAGGGGAAGGGGAAGGAAGAGGGAGGAAGGGGAAAGGAGAGAGAGAAGAGAGAGAGAGGGGGGGGGGGGGAGAAGAGGTGAAATAGAGATAGATAAGTTGATGGGAATAAATCGACAAATAAATAGATAGGTAAGCACAAAATGAGAATAAGAGTACAGTATATACACATGATACATATTATATATCATTACAAATAATATATATATATATATATATATATATATATATAATATATATATATATATATATATATATATATATATATATATACCCATATATAACATATGCATATACAAATGCAAACAAGCGAACAGTAGGCGGAATGTGATCTTGTTGTTAGCCGTAGGAGCTGCTTCTAATACTGTCTGTCTGTAACTGCTCTACAGACACCGCTTGCACTCTCCCAACACGATGGATTAAAAATAAACAGGAACAATAGAGATTCTTATAACCAAAAACAACAATATGTTGATAGTATCACACGAGTTTCAACGAAGGTCTGATAACACTAAGCTGAGATTGGAATGACCGTGAAGATGTTATGCACTTTACACTTAACATAGTTCTTGTCTGAACATGAGATACAAGAGTATATAAAAGAAGAAATTGTGAATTTGCTCTTCATTTTTTTCTTTTTTTTGGAGCTATATTCTGGTCACAAATTAGTAGTTCATTACTTTCATTTCTTTTTTTTTCATCTTGATATTCGAAATAAATAAGATATATTACCAGAACACTTAAATCATCATTTAGAAAAGGCATTACATATTACAATAAACATATAGAGTAATAACACCTAAACACACGTTTCTGACTCATAACAAACATGCTAACTCTTCCAAACACACCTAAATACACCTGTCCATAACAATTAAAGATTCTAACGCACTTTTCACTCAAATACGCTTTTCACAAAAATACATTAATGAGAAAGATAAAACAAAAACAGAGTCGCAGCTTCGGCTAGACTGAAATCTTGATAACGTTTCTTTGTTTCCGTTATTTTTTTTTTCAAATATTTGAACCCCATCCGTAACGGTCATTTTTACGCGTGGCAGAACCCGCGCGCCAAAGCGAGAGCCAGAAGGAGCGAAGACAGGTATCCCGAGCTCGCCGAGGCTAAGGTCGACCCGCCGTTGGTGCCATACGTGCCCTTGGCTCTTGAGGGCGCCTTGGTGGGTCTCCTGACGGGCGTGGAGTAGCTGGGTCCAGGGGCGTGGTCGGAGCTGTTGGCCAGGAGGTCGAAGTCCACCGTGACCTGCGTCTGGCCCTCGACGTACCTCATGACCTTGGCCTTGAAGTTGGGGTCGGGGTCGGGGGTCCAGTGGCCGCAGCGGGGGAAGTTCTCGGGCACGGGGGGCACCATGCTCTGGTCGCCCACGCGGAACACCAGCCCCATGCCCACCTCCACGTGGAAGCTGATGTGGCAGTGGAAGAGCCAGTAGCCTGGGGGAGGGGGAGGGAAGGGGTCAGAACACGTCGAATGCATTTTGATGCCTGTCTGTCTGTCTTTCTATATGTCTACCAACCTGAATCAATCCATCTACCTTTTTCCTTCTTTCCCCTTTCTTCTCTCTCCATCCCTTTCCCATCCCCATCCCTCCCTCCCTTCCATCCCTCGCCCTCTATACTTTTCCCTCCCCCCATCCCTCTCCCTTCAACCCATCATCCCCCATCCCTCCCCCCTCCCCATCTCTCTCTCCTCCATCTTTCCTCCCTCCACCCCTCACCCTCTCCATCCCTTCCCCATCCCCCATCCCTCTGTCCCTTTCCCTCCCCACCCCTCACCCTCTCCCTCCATCCCTTCCCATCCCCATCCCTCTATCCTTTCCCCCCACCCCTGTCCCTCTCCCTACATCCCTTTCCCATCCCCCTCTCCCTCTCTCACCCTCCTTCTCCCATCCCCCATCCCTCCTCCTTCCCTCCTTCCTCCCCCTCCTCCCTCCCTCTCCTCTCCCTCCATCCTTCACCATCCCTCCCCTCATCCTCTTTCCCTTCTCCTCCTCCATCCCTTTCCCATCCTCGCTCTCTACCCCACACCCTCTCCCTCCCCTCCATCCTTTCCCATCCGATCCGTCCATCCCTTTCCTCCCCCACCCCTCCCCCCTCCCCACCCTTCCTCCTCTCCCTCCATTCCATTCCCATGCCCATCCCTCCCTCCTCCCATCTCTCACCTCCATTCCTTTCCCATCCCCATCCCTCCTCTCCCTCTCCCTCCATTCCTTCCCCATCCCCATCCCTCCCTCCCCCCACCTCTCCCTCTCTCTCACCTGGATTTGTAGCGAAGAAGCGAATGATGGTGTAACCTCCGTCAGGCACCGTCACCGTGTCCTTCGTGGGCGGGTTGTCGAAGTTCCTCTCGATCTGGCCGGCGGCGTCGAGTTCCTTCACCTGACGGAGGGGCAGAAGGAGATCAAGGACGAGTCGTATAAAAAATAATGGTATCGAAGTCACTATAATAAATGGAGTTCCCAAAGTATATATATAGCTACTGCCGTAATTTACGTTTTTTTTTTTTTTTTTATTAATTACTGTTATTTTTGTCTTGTATTTTATAATAAATATTTCAATATGATAAATATGATACATAAATATAATCAGTTAGGTAGATAAGGTGATAAATTAGGGAGAAGATAAATGACCGTTTTATTTTACATATATCTATCTTTTCTATATTCTAGTACTTATAATCAACCAACATTCGTACTTTCAGACCTAGTTCACCTTAACCATGGTACTCTCCACACACCCTTTCCATAGTAGTCTAGTCACACTCATACGCTTTCCATGATCCATGGTAGTCTACTCACACATACCTTTTCCATGACTCCTCTCACACATTCTTTCCATGACAGTCTATTTTCATACAAATTATCCATGACAGTCTCCTCACACACACACACACACACACACACACACACACACACACACACACACACACACACACACACACACACACACACACACACACACACACACACACACACACACACACACACACACCACATTCATTCATGGCAACCTCTTTTCACACAAACCCCCTCCATGACAGTCTCTTCACACACACACACCCTATCCATGGTAGTCTTCTCTCCCACTCACCTTTTTCATGGTAGTTTCTTCCCCTAAGCGTCCCATGGCCAGCACCTTGAACGTATGGCCATGGAGGTGGAAAGGATGGTTGGCCCAGTAAACAACACCTGCAGAGAAATAATTAATTTTTAGGGATAGGACGTGAGGTGAACGTACTTTTTAGAGTTTTGGGTAATTTTTCGGTAGAGATAGGACGTGAGGTGAACGTATTTCTTAAAGTTTTTTGTAATTTTTCAGCACCGTTGGTTATTTTGGGTTGGATTTAAAGGTTCATGTTAGGTCATTATAAGTATTTTGTTTGGATTTTCGGTAATCCTGGATATTTGGGGTTGGATATAGGTTGGATATAATTTTTTCAGTTTTTCCTTTTCTTTTATTAAGATTGGGAGTTATTTAAAGTTAGATTTAGGTATCTGGATATTACTGAGTATTTATTTTGAGTTTTGGGTAATATTCTGCATGATGTTTTTCGGCAATTGCTTAAGATTGTCATGAGATAAACAAAAAATGACTGTAAACATATTGGATTACAAACAAATAAAATAAAAAGAATATATATAAGTAAATAGATACATATGCCTGATAAATACACTGTACGTATATATGCATGTGTATGTATGTAAATATGTATGTGCATATGTATGTACGTATGTATGTACATATGCATGTATGTACTTATGTATGAATGAACTTATGTATGAATATACTTATGTATGAATGTACTTATGTATGTATGTACGTATGTATGTAAGTATGTATGTATTTGTGTATGTACGTATTTAAGTATGTACGTATGCCTGCATGTACATATATATATACACGTATTCATGTATGTATGTATGCATGTGTGTACATATGTATGTACATATATACGTATGTATGTACGCATGCGTGTATGTATCCCTTCCCTTCCCCAACTCACCCTCGTCCACCAACACGAGCTCGATCAGGCTGTCCTTCTCGACGCTGAGGACGTGGGGGCAGTAGCAGAAGGAGTCCGAGCAGACCTCGCCCTTGGAGGTGGCGTTGCAGAAGTCCCTCTCGACGTCCACGCCTTCGGGCTGCGAGAGAGGAGGCACGCTGGGGAGTCGCAGGCTGATGTCGTTGATCTGCGGGAGGTACACGCGGTGGCTTCGCTGGACTGTGGAGGAGGAGGAGGAGGGCGGGGTTAGAGAGCGGCGTCGACAGGGAGGGTTTTCGTGACTTTCATGATCTTTGATTTTGATAATTTAAATGCAAATGGTGCATACAGTTTTAAGTTACGGCGGGGACTACACGTAAAGAAACAACAGCAACAACAACAACAACAACAATAATAATAATAAAATATACAGATACAATCTTAGTGGAATTCTTTCCCACAAAACATGTGAGATGCAAAACGATCGTTGTCGTCTGGAAAACTATCATTATTTCACATACTTAAAGCCTGAGCTAATAAACTTTCTTCTCCTTTTAACAGTAAATCAAAATCCTAAAATAAATACTCGCGGGCCACACCAACAACAGGCCAGGTGGACCATAAGTTAGACTGAACTGACACAAATGAACAAGCAAAGAAACAGTTCTAAACAAGTGAACAAACAAACAAACAAAAAATGTTAGCAAAACGGAAGGCAAATAAAAACACAGACAAACAAATTAAGAGGATACTGTTAGAAAGTTTCGATTGGTAAAAATGCACAACCCATCGTTTTGAAATTGTGGAAATAATAGCCGGAAAATGTAAAAAAACAATAAAATTGTAAAAGGGAGAGATAAAAAGAGAAGGAGGGGGAGAGGAAGGAGAAAGAGGGGAGAGGAAGGAAGGAAAGGGAGGGAGAGAGAGTGGGAGAAGGAGAGGGAGAGGAGAGGGAGAAGGTGAAGGAGAGGGAGAGGGAGAGGGAGAGAAAGAAAGAGATAGATAGATAGATAGATAGATAGAGAGAGATAGATAGATAGATAGATAGATAGATAGAGAGAGAGAGAGAGAGAGAGAGAGAGAGAGAGAGAGAGGAGAGAGAGAGAGAGAGAGAGAGAGAGAAGAGAGAGAGAGAGAGAGAAGAGATTGAGAAGGAAGAGAAAAGGAAGAGACAGACAAACAAACAAACAAACAGACAAGACAACCAACCAACCTCCAAAGAAGGGATAATGCTCCTCGTGATGAAACAGCTCGTTATTCTTGCTGTAGAAGTCGAAGTCGAGCCAGAACTGGTAGTCCGGCTTCCTGGCGATGGCTTCGTCTTCCTCTAAGCCTCTGATCTCGGCGGCGGTTACGAACGTTCCATCTCCTGGCGCCGCGTTCAACTTGTTCAAATTCTGAGAGAGAGAAAGAGGAAGGGAGGGCTATCGTAAATTGTTTTTTTTTCAACTTTATTCAGTTTCGGAGACTGGTACTTAAAGAGATGCAGATAGCTAAAGAGATAGATCAGCTGATAGACAGAGATAAATAGATAGATCGAGAGAGAAAAGGAGAGGGGAGGAGGAAAAAGATAGATAGATAAATAGATAGATATACAGATAGAAGATAGATAGATAGATATATAGATAGAGATGATAGAGAGAGAGAGAGAGAGAGAGAGAGAGAGAGAGAGAGAGAGAGAGAGAGAGAGAGAGAGAGAGAGAGAGAGAGAGAGAGGAGAGAAGAGAGGAGAGAGAGAGAGAGAGAGAGAGAGAGAGAGAGAGAGAGAGAGAGAGATAGAGAGAGATAGAGATAGAGAGAGAGCAAGATGAGACAGACAAACAACAATAACGCGAAGAGAGAAAGAAACACACAAAAAAAGGAGAAAGAAAACAGAAACAGAAAGAACGAAAAAAACAAAACAAAACGCTGAAACTTCAACTCACAAGTCCCTCCGGAATCGTAGACTCGTAAGTGACGTTCTGTAGGCTCGTCGGATAGCCCTGCGCGCCCTCGTACCTCATGACCGCAACCTGGAAATATGACGAAATATAAAACAAAAATCCTTCCAGATAATCATATACAGAAATGCTAATGAATTTGCATATGTTTACACACACACACGTACACACACATACACGCACACAAACACACACACGCATACACACATACAAACACACGCAAACACACACGCACTCACACACACCGCACGCGCACCACACACAGAGGCATACACACAAGCACACACACACACACACACATATATATAAATCTAAGGTATTTACAATGATAATAATAATAAAAAACGTAGTTAAAAATACACACATGTCTCACAAACCCAAATATATGGAAATGATGCTCCTGCCATAGACCACAATAGTCATGAGTCATTGAACTTGCTAATTGAAATGTTTACAAACAAAATTTTAGCAGCTGGTCTCTCGCCTAGAGACCATTTACCCATAAATTTACATCGTAATCCGTCTGCAATTTTTACACATAACCCTACCAAAACAAGAAAAAAATAACAATACAAAATAGGATAAATAAATAAAATGAAAAAATAACCTGACAAATAAAAATGAATAAAGAAATAACCAAACAAATGAAAATAAGATAAATAAATAACCAAACAAATAAAGATAAATAAATAAAAACCAAACAAATGAAGATGAATAAATGAATAACCAAACAAATAAAGATAAATAAATAAATAACCAAACAAATATGAATAAGATAAATAAATAACCAACCAAACAAAAATAGATCAATGAATACATGAATAACCAAACGAAGAAAAACAAACACATAACCAACCAACCAAACAAAAATAAACAAATAAACAACCAAACAAATAAAAAAAATAAATAAAGATCACAATAAACAAATAAACAACCAAACAAATAAAAGCAAATAAATAAAGATCACAAAATAAACAATAAAAACAACAATCATTAAAGAATACAATAACGAAATAATTGCCCATTCGGCTCACCTAGATCACATGAATACATAGCGAAATAATTGCCCATTCGGCTCACCTGGAAAGCTGACTTGAACCTGTCGTCGCAGTCCAGCTGACCTTGGAAGTAGATCCAATATGGCGCCACTTCCTCGGTCGCGTTCACCACGAAGTCCCATCTCTCGCCGCCGAATATGGTGAGGGAATCCACTGCAAGACAATGGATTTGTTTATGGTGTTTGAGTTACTGAGGATATTGGACAAGGATTTTGTAGTATATTTTTAATGAGGGTGGTTTACTTAGTGTTAATATTGTACGATTTGGATATTTTTTTAAAAGCTGGAAGGGTTTGTTAGATTGTCCTAATATTGTTGGGAGGAACTAATTTCTTTGTTACTTCTGTGTTTACTTCAAAAGCGTTTTGGATGTTTATTTGCCAATGAATTTATATTTCATCAACTTTTTTTCTTTTTTTTTTCTGTCAGTTCCCATTTTCTCAGGCAAATGCATATTATTTCTCTGTCTCTTACTTTCCGTTTTCCTGTCATTTACACAATGTCCTATTTCTCTCGTCGCCTATCAAGGGACTATTACTCCATATTTATCATATAATATAAACATTTTCTCTCGCTTATCAAGCTTATAATCCGCTTAATGGCTTATACACATGCCATTTTTTTCACCTATTAAGACCACTACTCCGTTTTCTATCAATTATCCATTTTCCCTCAACTATTAAGACCACTAATCCATTTTCTATCAAAAACACGTCCCATTTTCTCTCACCTTCTATGGGCTGAATGGGCATCCCGTCCGTGGCAATAGCAAGCAATTTGTGTCCTTCTACAGAAATAACTATGGGGCAATTCTGTATGCTGTTGCTCAAGGCTCTGAAACGGTGCCTCTTCCCCTGTCAGAGAAAAAATAGAAAGAAAATTAGGATAATTATGAGTGAAAAGGGCTGAGAAAATTATCCGTCAGATAATTATGGTTATTGTTTTGCATTTGAGTGAGTGATTGCCTTGGCGAAATGGCTGCAGTAATGATAGTAGGCAATTGTAAGGATGAATGGACGGACGTTATTGTGTTTAAGAAATATCTAAAAGCAATGTGAAAATTGGGTCGGAATTATTCTTAACATATATATAATAATACATATATATTATATATTATATATATTATATATATATTATATATATATATATATATATTGTATTGTGTGTGTGTGTATAATAATTATATATTGATAGAACTATAGATAAATAAACATGGTATAGACGTCTCATGATAAGCAAGATCTTATGGTATTGTGATTCTTTGTCAAACACTGTGTGTGTGTGGCATGACCATTAGTGCATGAGCCGTCACGGGATGCAAGTGTGTTAAGTCAATCAGTGTAAATCAGCCTGTAATATATATGTATGTAGTAACGGTAATTTATAAATATCAGTATAAGTATAATGTTTTGGTATGTAGTGTGAGTAGGGGTGTATGGGTGTGTAACTAAAAATGCGCGCGATCATCTCGGTATCTTCCTCCGTGTATCCGCTCCCGTCTCAATCGCATGGACCTCCTTCATCATATCCGTCGTCTTCTCCCTTCCGTCTACGCTCGATCTGCTTCTCCAGTCTTTCCGTATCCTTACATCGGTCACTTCTCCTCACGTCCTCCGGGTTCGTCTTTCCAGTCTCTAAATCCTCTTCTCCTGGACTGCTCTTCTTCTATATATATATCTATAGTATATAATTATATATAGTATAATAACATTATATAACTATATGGTAGCCGTCCTGTGTCATATGTACCCAAATAACAATTTCTTTTCTGACACTTTATTCCGGAGCGTACTTCCCATACGTTCAGATGGTTGGCGTTGTACATGGAGGGATATTGTGCAAAGTAGAAAGACAGTATAGGAGTGGGCGAGCGGTGGTCATGTTCCACTCCTGTAGTGCATCATTGGGGCAAGGCAAACGAAACACTTAGATATGTCAACCGAATCAGTGAAGATGGCCTTTTGGCTCGCTCTCTTCTAAATTTTACTTCCAACCTAGATACGAATGAGTAAGAGAAGGAAAGAAAAGAGAGAGAGAGAGAAGAGAGATGAGAGAGAAGAGAGAGAGAGGAAGAGAGAGAGACGTAGAAGAGGAGAGAGAGTAGAAGAGCAGAGAGGCAGAGAGAGAGAGAACAAGAGAGATGAGAGAGACAGAGAGAGACGATTTTAAGAAAAATATAAGTAAATAATCAATGAATAAAACACTACTTAAAAACAGACTAAAAAAAACAAAGCAAAACAAAAAAGAGGGATAAAAACGACAATAACGAACAATAATAATAAAACCCATCCTCACTCCAGCATTTTTTTCTCTCTCCCATGTTGCCACTTTTCAAAACAGAAAAATGTACTCAACAATGGATCAACACAAATAACAATAAGGCTCTTCACATGACAAGGGAACAACAGAGACTAGACAATACTCATCAATTCGGAACGACACTTTAAACCCTCTTTAAAGTATGTGCACAAACAGTTTGTGATGTAGTAGCGTCAGACAATTTAAGCATTGCAGAGTCTCAACTGTACCGTTGTTTTACTAGGGTACTTTGTAAACATGGGTGTTTAAGAGTTGGGGCCGGTACACATATTATGCGCACTCGACACACACTAAATGGTCGCACCAAACACAGTTACACTACACCCCCACACACTACTACTACACACACGACAACAGCCACACTAACACACACACAACACTACACAGCACACGACACACACAATACGACACACACACACACATACACACAACAAACACACACACACCAGTTACACACACAAGCACAGGTT